GGAAATTACAAATGATCCCAAACCGATACCTAGTTTTATCAGAAGACGTGCAATGTACCTATATAGCCCATGCTTAGGCCCGAGGTGCTCCTACATCGCATCTTTCAGGCCCGTGCACAGACTGGATGGTGCCTGGACTTAGACCCTTGAGGCACAAGTACTTAAAGGATCATGAGACTTAGTAATTGGGGTTCTAAGTACGGTAACTACAGTTTTACTTACTTAAAACCCCAGTTAAGGTGCTTATAGCCCTACTTACTAGGTCCCATAGCCCCGAACCCTCAACCGTAAGCCCTGAACATCTGCCAGCCAAGGAACTGGGAGTATGATGCAGCTGTCCTTCTGAAGATTGCCTGAATCTCGTTACATTTTTGTTTTTTGAGCTTGCTACGGTTTAGGGTGTAGGGTTTGCGTTGCGGTTTAGGGTTTAGGTTTTTTCAGGTTTCGGGGTGTGGCTACGCATGATGACAGTTCTGCGTGGCCTGACTGATTGCAAGACGGTTTCGTTGCACAGGTTCGTATGAGTTTCAGGCATAATACTACTGCCAATACTACTGCTTCTACTTATCTGGACCTTGAAGTAACCAGGGAGAAAAAAGTATAGACTTTTATTTCATAATGCTTCCTTTAAGGAACAGGTACCAAGAAAAGCTATTCAAGTATGGTACTCCAAACCCAGATAAGGGATAGGTTGGAGTCTCTTAGTAAGCCCAACAGATCCCTTATAGGAATCCTTAAAGGAACCCTTACAGACCCCTTTAAAGGAATAAAGGTCATTTCAGGCCCCTGTAATCTTCAGGGAAAGGTCTGGGTGCTTTTTAAAATCCAGGGCTTCGTGGCTTAGGGTCTACAGGGAGATCTAGAGCTTAGGCTTTACGGCTTGGGGGTTTAGGATTTAGGGTTTAGGATTCAGGGTTTAGAATGTATGGTTTGGGTTTTAGGGTTTGGGATTTAGGGTTTGGGATGTAGGGTTTAGGATTTAGGGTTTGGGACTTAGGGTTTAGGGTATAGGGTAGATGTCAAAGTCCTAACCCCGAAGCTCGAAAACGTTTTGGACGGAAAACAACCTGAAACTTCGGTTTTAGGACCACTTGGGAGTTTCCGAAAATAAGGGAACCTTTTTTGGAGGGGGGTCCTTCCCCTGTTTTCGGAAACTCCCATCTCAGTCCAGGGAGCACAAACATCATCTGCCAGAGTTAAGGTTAAGCCATTTTTGCAACACACGCCACCAGAACCGTAAACCCTATAGTCTCCATTGTAGTTCCTTTTTTTGGTTTAACCAACTTTATATTAAGGATCCTACAACCTAACCCCAAAAAGGAACTACAATGGAGACTATAGGTAAACCCTAAACCGACATGAAGCGTAAACTCCTGAAGCCCGAAACCCGGGAAAATCTCGACAGGATAGTCTGCAGGGACTTCCTTGCATAGACCCCGAAGCCCTAAACCCTGGGCCCCCTATAACCTTTTATGCACCCACACATAATATCTAAACTTGGCACCCTAAACCTTACAGCAATGTCTGGTCCTAATCCCTAAACCCGACGTAACACCACAAGTCCTAACTACGGCACAAATGACAGCCTTGCTTCCAAGGAGCTAAGCGAGGAACGCTTGCTGCCATGTTTTTTTGGAGATTGCGCTTCCCGGCCTCTGATGGGGCGCCCTTAGGGTCTGGGGTAGAATACTACTGGCACTGCAAGGGTTATACAAGCTTAGTTAAAGGCACTACAACAAGGGTTCTCTAAACGTAGTATGAGGGTACCATATATTGTAGGGTTGAGGGTATGTACTATGTACATGGGTTCTATAAAATGTAGGGCTATACGGCCCTAAAAGAGTACTGTAGGGCGGGGGTGCTGGACGGGTCATGTAAGGGTATTATTCAGATTATTTAGGAGCGCTTCAAGAATCAAGAATCCTACACAAAAGCGAACAGCTGAAAACCTGAAACACTGCACCCGAAATGAAGTGCAAAAATCCCCTCATCCCTAAACCTAGCAGCCTAAGCCCACTGCCACTACCCATAGGCCCCAAAGTAGTTCCTTTTTGGGCTGATAGGATTCTATGTATGAACCCCCAAAAGGAACTACTTTGGGGCCTTAGGGTAGTGAAAACATCTTGAGAGTGCTTCGAGGTCGGATCTGTCGGCCCTGAATGAGAAAACCGCGCAGGTTAAGGGTTTAGGGTGACCCAAAGCTAGAAAAAAGGCTAAACCTAACAGTCTGTATCCTAAGCCCCACACCCTAAACCCCATACCCTGGACGTTATACCAAACACTTTCAACCGGAAAAAAACCGTACAGTTCCCTGAGCCCTCACGGAAGCTAGCAAGCAGAAGTCCCATCAGAGGTATCCTACCACTACCTGCATCCAAGCAGGACCGTATTCAATTGTACATGTTCCCAATTGCAGATCCTCAGAGGAGGTGGTGGCATATCGAGATATTGCCTGAACGAAGCCCGTACAAGCAATATAGAAGCCTGAATAAGTAGTACTGCTATTCCTCAGGATCCTTGTTGCACAATATAGCCCGACACGCTAGACGGTAGAACGAAGTACCTAATCATTAGGTCCTAGAAAGAACACTTCAAGGACCCTCAACCCTAAAAGACTCATAGGCTCGAAATCTAATCCAAGTCTGGCGGCCCATGGCATGACCTTTAGTCAGCCACAGAGTGGAGCGCCGATTTAGGACTCTAGGGCGTAGGGTTTAGGGCTTTAGGGGTTCAGGGCTTAGGGCTCAAGTGTCCCATATAAAGCCCGTAGAGGTACCCTGCATGGGCATGGGCTTCTCCACTATATGCTTTTGACTTCCTGCAGAATGGCCAGATATCTCAAGAGATTCGGGATCCGAGAGCTCTGGCATTGCAGTGTTGCTTGTCTGAGGACATGGTGGGTGCAGCAAACGCTGGAGTTCAAGAGGTTGTTAATATTGCCAGATCCAGAGATTTCATATGATATAGCATATGCCAGATAGCATGATATACTAGCGACTACGTTGTGCAAGGTCAGAACCTGCTTCTTGGTTTGGCAGAGCCATGTTCGTGGTTCCGTGTGGGGCACAGGCTAAGATTTGTCATCATGAGGCGCCAAACCCCATGAAGCCCCATGTATGATACTGAGTTCATGAGCCGCAGATGAGCATGTCTTCACTCTTGACATTGGGCGTCGGTTGCTGCAAGCCTTTATGCGGCGGTGGCCGAGCGAAACTGAGCACAGACTGACAGGTGCTGCAGAGGCCACGGAGTCTAGTGTTTAGAATAGAAGCCGGAATAATTGCCAATACGATGCCGAAGTTCTTTACTCTAAAGCTCTTCGTATAAAGGAACATACCCCAAAACCCCGTTCCAACTAACCAGGCAAAGCCAGTCCCCCATATCAGGATAACAGTTGCTGTGAGGAGGGGTTCAAACTTGCAGTCCTTCTAATTGAAATTCCTCCTAAACTTAAAGAACTTACGAAGGTACCCATATCGGGATCTGTAGTAAACAAGAGAGTCTCCATCTTCGCGTAACTTAAGTTAAATTCCTCGAACAGTAGAAATAAGAAATAGCCCAGTCAACCTTTAGCCTCCTGTGATAAAAACCAAGGCTCATCGATATCTCCCGGTCGACAAATATCAGAACAACTGTTTGTGCGGTTCAGGGCTCGAGGATAAATGGCGCATCCTCAAAATTCGGTGTAGTTTTGGCGGCAAACCGAGTCTCAATAAAGCCAAACGGCTCCCTTAGACGAGAAAATCAAGAAGCCGGAAGCGTTACAGATAGTATTCCTTGTAGGCTGCAATACCATGCGTGTGAGACCGGAGTACGTCCCTGATATAAAGCTGTGCCTTTTAGGGGTTCCTTCTTATAGGGTTTCTATTTATGTACCTCCTTAACTAAGCTAGGGTTTGGTGGTCAAACCCTAAACCTTAAACCTCGTACATGTTACGCCAGAATCGCACGGTCAGCATCGAAACCAGCATGTCACGTCGGCTGTACCCTGAAAAAGCGGCGTTCGTGGTATTGATTTGGGGTCCCATACCAGAAACGTTGCCTCATAGGGTTCGGGGCCCGGAGGTTGGGGTTTAGGAAGTAGGACTGGGCAAAGTAAACAGGAAACCCACCATGAAGGTGCCCAGTATGCTGGTCTCAAGAACCGGAGAAGAAAGAGAGCAATAGACCTCCTCAGCTGGGTCCTGCCGAATCCTACCCTAGATCCTATAGGTTCCATCTTAGGCTTTCTACGGCCTTTTAGGTTTAGGTTTAGGTTTAGGGTTTGGAAGAGTGCGCCATGTAAAAGGGCCTACATGAGTCTAGGGCCAATAGAGTATTTGGGACTGCCTAAATCGGAGTTTCCGAAAATAGGGGATCCTAAATATAGTATCTTAGATAATTAGTAGGATCCTTCTTTTAAGGACCCGGAAATAAAGTACTCCCCAAAAATTCGGAAAATCCCAAATCTCAGGAGAACCCAAAGCCGAAAACTAAATTCTTCAACCCTCAACCCACAATCTCCTAAACCCCAACCCTAGGGCTCTGACGGTTGATGATATAAATCCTGCATTACCCATAATCAGGAATATATCATAACTCCCATCATAGTCTTGGGTCCTTAAGGTCATGCAGGATTTATACTATCCACAGAAGGACTCATATTTTAAGGCCTTTGGGTACAGAGGCCACACTATATAAGGCTTCTGGGCTATTTTGAGCCTTAGGGCAATAGAAACATCTTAACCCCCAAGCCTGCGTCAAGCCCCCTCTTCGGGCACCTATAACTCTATGAAGTAACTACTTACTAAGTCCCCCGACCCTCCGAGGAAACCCTCTTTCAGGGGCTGAGACTCCTAGGCCAGAAAAGGTGAACCTTTTCTGTTATGGTAGGATTATATCAACCCCAGAAGGTTAAAGGTTACCTACTCAGCTACTGAGCTCTTCTAAGCCCTGGAACCCTTATATAAACCCCCAAACCCCTAAAGCCTATACCCTAAACCGTAAAGCCCTAGAAGAGCCTGGCGCAGGACGTATTCGTCATGCATCGTCCCGTTCACAAGCAAATCCGGAGCCTCCCCGAAGAGTTTTGGTTTAGGGTTTGTCAGGTTTAGGTTTAGGTTTTAGGGTTTTTCAGTCGCAGGTTTTGAGGTTTGAGGGTTTGAGGTTTAGAGTTTGCCAAGTCTAGGTATTGGGGTGGTTTAGGGTTTTGGGATACATATACATGTATGTATATATACATATATGTATAGGCTTTGGGCTCTAGGTTTAGGGTGTAGAGTTTAGGGTTCTTTACACGGCTGCTTTTCAGGGTTTTAAAGGACTTCAGGACACACTGTCTACGGCATGTACTTGTGTGTGGGTTTTGAAGATGGGTTTTGGTCTTCGGCTTTGGCAAGGGCACTGGGTTTGGGATCTAGGTGCTAGGAATGCAAGGCTGCTTAAATCTCACCCTGGCTATGGCTACTCACTACATTACTTCCCTAGGTACGAGTATAAACCCTAAACCCGAATAACCATGAGCCCTGAAGCAACGGCTTACCTTCCGGGACCCTGTGTTACCGTGCACGGCGTTTCAAAGGTGAGCTTCGGCGACAAGCGCCTGGGGGTGGCTGGTTCTTTGAACTACGATCCCTTTTGCGGGGTCCTTATCACAACGAAGGTACGATTTAGACTCCGGACTAGATTAAGAGCTCTTATCCTTTCTGAAGCTGCCACATGGGTTAGAACCCGTTCCCTTTACCAAAGACCATGACATGGCATGACACGAAGATGCCTTCAACTCTGCACAGACCTGGGAATGCAGTTGTCATGTGTAACCAACTAGGTCACACGCGCGTGAGGCGCCTGGCTACTTTCAAGGGTCTCAATGTGCTTATTTCCTAGGTTTTGGTATGATTTTAGTTAAATTTCAATTTATTAGCAAGAGCTCAAGCTATTCATTTTTAGTGACACATCAGCTAATTTACAGCAGGAAATGCTGTTTTTGGGGTGTGGTTTTCTCTTGTCTGAAACACTGTGAACCCTCAAGACTCGCAACCTGCACACAGACCCAGGCCAAAGTCGCACCTCAACCCGAAAAACCACACAAAACCCTGTACCTAGGGTTGAGGCTGGGGGGACCCCGGAAAAGGCCTGGAGCAGAAACCCTCAAAACATATCTCAGGCGCTTCAGGTTTACAATCATAGGGCTGTCACGCAAACCTGGAGGAGAAGTTGGAGGCTCGCAGTCAAGCCAGCGCATGACTGTGCCGACACTCGGAGACCTTGAAACGCTTGCGCGAGAAGCACCGGAAGGTGGTGGTGTGCGTGGGGCCAGCGGTGAAGACGCTCTGGGCGGCAGCGGTGAAGGCGTTCGTGGCGCTGCCTCTGCACCAGAACATCGAGGACTGGAAGGAGACATGGTCGACATCTCGCGAGGGGGCAGCCAGGAGGCAGCCTGAGGTGGCCGTGGCCATTCATGCACGAAGCCAAAGCGACTCACCAACATGCGGTGATGCCGACGGCATAGCTCCAGCAAAGGCGGCGTTAGCGCGTGACGCAAGGACCAGGCCATAGCACCCAACTGCGGACCTAACGCCTGCAAGGTCTCCCATGGAAGCCGAAGATGAGCACGGGTCTCGCCGAAGATGGTGACAAGGATTGCTCTCTCAGCCGAGAAGTCCGGGTGTGCAGCACAGAACCTGCAGCTACCGACTTGGCCAAAGACATAAACATGTAGCAAAGCAATACAGACGCTATCCGAGCGGCGTGAAAGTGAGACTCCAGATCAGCGATGCTAAAGCGAAGGAAAGAGCGCAGCTCGGCAGGAAGGTCCTGCTGCGCCGTACGCAAGAGGATGACTGCGGAGAGGGCGGCCACCAGCCAGCAAAAGTACATGGCTGCAGTGGCACCGGCTACATGAGTGGTCGGAGCCGCAAGGAGTAGCTGACATACAAGAAACTTGAAATCCTGGTCTGTAGATGCATACGAGGCCACAGCTCGTTCTTGCCCCCCCCTTCCCCCTCCCCCCATGCCCCCTAGTGCAATGCACGATTTATCCAGGCGCCTGGTGCGCGTGTAACCAACTATTTTGGTGCTTTCAATTGTACATACCCATAGGCCCCATAGTAGTTCCCTTTTGCCGCCCTACACAAGAAACACGAGTAAAAAGTCAATGCATGTTCTGACAACTTTCCTGCACGTTATGATTTGCCACGTCTTTTCCCAAAAAACTCCTATAAGCCCTACTAAAGTTCAGCAAAACCTTGTAGAACACCCAATGCTGCTGACGGCGGGCCATCTGGAAGTCTCGCATGCACATGAAGCGTGTGGCGACGTACCTCATGGAGTGGCTCCCCAGAGACTCCAAAACCCATTAATCTACTTTCGATTGTTGGGGACCCTAAACCCAAAGACCTTAATAGCATTTGAAACAATTTCCTTAGCTAACGGCTCCTGGAGTTTGTGGGTCTTCTGGAGAGCGAATAATATTGATGTTTGAAATGGTTCATTTAGGGTAGAAGGGGAAATTCGTATTTAGAGAGTTTATCTAGGCCTTCTTGCGATGACGTAAAGGATAGTCCTCAAATACAGAGGTGTTGAGCCCTCTGGATTGATATGGTCTTCGGACGTTCGTGTAGCAAGACTGCGCAAACAGCCCGCGGGATCAACTGCTAAGTATCCCAACCCCAAACCTAAACCGGCAAGACATTCACCGAATCTGTGCCCAGGTGCTAAGCCTCGATCAACATCTAAACTGCGCACAAACCCTCAATCCTAAATCCCATGGTGTACAGCACACAGTCATTGATGTCGGCTCTACCGAAACTGCTTCAAGCTCGGTGCCCCCACGTTCAGGTGCAAGTTTGTTTCGTTCTTCAGGGCCACAAGACGAACCTTACACAAAGCTTATAGTGATTCCCAGAAAGTTGGAACATGGGTTTAGGAGGATTCGTGCTAGGATCCCTTATGCTTTGCCTTAAGGGCATGAGGAGAAAGATGTTCCAACTTTCTGGCTTCCACTATAGAGCCTGAACATGAGCAATCCTGATCCCCAACAGACCTTGTTTCTGCGGTCATCGACATGGCATAGCCCTGACTCCTGACACCTAACAGCCCTAAACTCCCCAAAACCTTGAAGAACATGAAACTATATCTTCTTATAGTTATAGTAGGGATGCATACAATGAACTGGGAAGCCTAAAAGACCCTACTCTCTTGCAATAGGGATCCGTACCCTAAAGGGTCCTAAGTACCAATGTGGGAGATACTTGCCCAAACCGTAATAGCAATTCCTATTATAGAAGCCTTACATTCTACCATGTAGGTACTTAGGACCCTTTGGGTACTACAGTCCCGCCGATTGTGCTGAGACGGCGCACGCGCGCGAAAGGATGGTGATGGGATGAGTGCTGACGTTGACCACACCCACCATGGCCTTTCAGGATTTGGGATTTAAGATAAATACAAAAGGGTTCCTATAAAGGGGACTACCAGGGTTACTATAAGGGTTATCATAAGGATTTCCCACCATGGCCTTTCAGGGTTTAGGGTTTGGGGGTTTCCTTCAAAAGCGGACTATAAAGGTTACTATCAGGGTTATTATTTGGTATAGAGGGTTTGGGATATAATATAGGGCGCCTTCAATAGCTTTAAAAACTAGACTAGGGCTTTGGGGTCCGTTATACTATACATAAAAATAATGACCCCCCCCAAAAAAAAATTGGTTTTCATTTAGGCACCTGTTTTGGTGTTTCAGGATTTACTGGTTTTTCGGCATCTCGTGAATATGACTTCAGTAACTGGAACTCAGGCTGTAGCATTCTTGCAGTTTCGTATGGCCAGACGGCTCTTTGTGTAGATTGGCCAGCTACCACAACCAAAGCCGGGGCTCTGGAACGCTACAGTAGAAGCCAGAAAGTTGGAATATCATTATCGTAACCCTTTAAGGTAAATTATAAGGGATCCTACCATTAATCCATATTCCAACTTTCTGGAGTTCCCTTTATGGTGAGTATTCCACAGCAGTGTTGGTCTGAGAGTACGGGATGGCACGGTTCTCTGGATTGCAACAGCTTGGCGTAATAAACCATGGTTCGAATCCGACGTGGGATAGGTAGGTGGGGCGTTTAGAGCCTTTGAAAATGTTAGAAAATAAGATCCTCTTAAGCCCAACAAGGGAAAATATAAAATGTCCCAAAGCCCTACCTAGAACAGGTTGGCGTAATAAACCATGGTTCGAATCCGATGCGGGATAGGTAAGTCTACATGAGCACTACCAAACTTTCAACTCAGAAAGCCTTACCTTAAGCCGGAATAACCTGCCTTGTTGAGAACTTATATAAGGAAATCATAATAAGGAAGCCTAAAAAGGTAGGTTATTCCGGCTTAAGGTAGGGTATGAGAACACTGCAGAGTCGCAGCCTCGCCGTCGCTGTTGACGGTCTTGTTGGCATTCAGTGCCTGGACCTCTACGTGTTTGAAGGTTCCGGGTTCATCTAAACCCTTAACCCTAAGGCCCCAAAGCAGGTCCTTTTGGGGGTTCATGTATACAAACCTATAAGGTAATCCCAAAAGGAGCTTCTATGGGGCCTCTGGGTAAACCCTAAACCATAAATTTGGCTGTTTAGGGCTGAAGGTTATAGGCCTTCTGGGCTAAATCCAGTGGGTGAGCATCATCTCTCAGCAGATCCCAGCAGGAGGTAGCTGCAACAATGTAATCCCCGAAACAAGGTGTGCACTTACGAATATCTTCCGAAGCATCCCTATATGTGTTAAAACCAAAGCATAACCCGTTCAAGCATTGCCCACATGAGTTTTATGTTGGCCTGCTGTCCCGATGCTAAGTTGCTGTGATCTTTTGCAGTTCAGGGTTCAAGTGGTGCATACAGCCCTCAAAGACCTCGCCCAAACCCGCAGCTTCACCAACCTGCACAACAAAATCAAAACAAGCTCTGTGGCTCAAAACATGGGGCCCTATGTTATTTGACCACGATTCGCATCTTGGGTGGGATTGCGGTATATTGCCTAAACCCTAAACCCTGGGTGTGCAGGAGTTTGTTCATCAATTGCCCAGGGCCTGGACAGCACAAGCAGGATTGCCAGGTATGGAAAGCTTCTTAGGTTGAGGGTACAATTAGGCCGCCTGCTAGACATTTAGTTTCTGAGGATACAATTCAGGGTATGTTCGGCCCTGCAATTTATTCCTGAAATGCACACATCAAAAACCCAGGTCCCTGTTTAGTGTTAACTCTGAACAACAGCTTCCTAAACCCACAACCCCTAAACGCCAAATCCTGCTTATCCTAAAACCTGCCATCCTAAACTGCAGCTCAGGTGCGTGGGAGATCATCAACCGCAAGGTGAGGCGGTTGGTGAAGAACTCGTCGAGAGAGCGCTCGATGTCCTTCGCAAGTTACTTGTAAGTTCGCTTGAACACACTTTAATCTGTTTTTGTAGGCTTTGATAGGTTTCATAGCTTGTGTATAAGTGTTATGGGAGGATGACTGTTCAGCAGGCTTTATCTACGGCTTTCGATGAGTATTTTATAGCGAGTATTATCGGGTGCATACACCTCGACCGACTTGAACCTACCCTTTTTTGCTGGAGGCTGAAACCCACCTCCGTGAAGACGTTGCAGGAATCTATCAACCCGTGCCAGCCAAACATATTCTGTGATGGGAACAGGGTCCTTTACATAGTTCGTGCTTTAAAAGGTACCAAGTCATTATGGTTGCTTGGTACCCTAAAAAGTGACGTGTATGGAGGTTTTCTGGGTTACAGGCAGCTCATGCTACTCCTGTCTCCAGTAAACGATCAACCTGAACACTGCCTGAACGACCAACCTTCGCCAACCTACCTGATTCCTGATTAACTCCTGAACCCTGCCAAATTCGTGCCTCAACTCTACGGCTTTAAACCCCAAGAAGTTAATCCCTAGAGCCAAATAGACACTGCTTCCTTTTCCCAAAGCGAAGGCCTGAGACTCTTGTTGCTGGTCCCTAGAAGCGACTACCTCTAAACCCTGAGCCGAAAGGACCCAGGTCTCATCCACACCCTGCGAACCGGCGACCTGACCGACCAACATCCGGGCCGAATGCCAGGATCTTCAAAACTTAGGGGCTGAGTTCATAAGCCCAAAGAAAGGTTAACCTGTTGAACTACAGTAGGATTATATACGCCCAAAAAAGGCTGAAATTTTTGAACTACAGTAGGGTTACATAAGCCCCGAAGGGTTCAAGGTTACCTACTCGGCCCCTAAGAAGCCCCAAACCCTAAACAGAGCCCTCTCCTGAATGAGATCGAGATGACGCAACTCGGCCAACTCTAGGTCAGGGCCGAAGAGCTTGTTCAAATCCTGGCAGTGTAAGCGCTCAAACACATACAGTAGACTCAGTAGGATTTGGGGTTTAGTTAGGGTTCAAATACTGGCAGTGTAAGGGCCTTGGTACACAGACCAGGATTTTGGGGTCTCGGAACAAGACGAAGCTATCTTCCGAGTAAAAACACTGCTCCCAAAATCAGGGGGTCAGAAAGTAGGTTCTTAAGGAGGGCGTACATGAGGCAATCCCAATTAGTGTGTTTGAGCAGCTGACTTTTTGGCTTATTGGTTTCTGGGCACACCTGCCACGGTATGGAAAAGGCTTTAATTAAACCCTCCACCATGCATTCAATGCCTTCAAACGTTTGTGCTGCTTTCCCCCGAGTCTCCGAAACCCCCTTATTGAGGCAACATACCCTGAACCATATGCCTTTCTGACTTGAGGTACATTCCAGTATCAAGGGGTCTTTTATGGTTGTGGAGTCTCTGCATCTATTGGCCCGGATCTTCACCTGAGCATTGAACTGCATGGAAGGACTCCACTCAAGATGCGAACTCGAGCCCTAAACTCTAAACCCTATTCCGTAAGCCCTAAGAAGCCCCAACTTCTGGAGGATGCGGGCGTCCTCGTTGAACTCGAACACTCCTTTGGCTACATCCAGCCTTGGCAAGCTCAGCAGACCTGTACCCTAAACCCCCTTACGATGAAATCTTGCTCAGCTTTGCATTTTTTCTGAGCCTTTGTTGGCTAAAGAAGCCAAACTTACCACACCGCACTCTAGGCCTCTACCGGCAGCGCAGATCTTCAACCACAACACAACCTTTTGAAACCTGGCAAACTAAACCTCAAATCCCAATCCGAAAGAAACTCCTCAACAACTCAACAACCATGTATACATGTGTATATATATATGCATAATATGAATCAAACCAACTTTCGTTCAGGCCTAGTCATATGAGATCCCTAAATGCAACCTTGGTATCCACCGAAATGAGCTATCAATTTCGATCCCGGATACGACTCTGAAGTAGGATTACAAGTTCATATATACGATTTCATGAACCCACTACACAGTCATGTACAATTCAATGTACGATCTCATGTACGTGCTATAAGTTCATGTGCGAATTCCGGGTATGGTCGTACCTGGAATAATACTGTTGTAAGATAAAAATACGACTCCATGTACGATTCCAGGTACGATCTCGAAGTACCGTTCCAGGGACGGTTCTAAGTACGATTCCAGGTACCATCGTACCTGAAAAACCGCGCTTTTGTGCCGGAATAAAGACAATTCCAGGTACGATCTCGAAGTACGATACCGGGTACGGATGTCATAAGCTTAGGCGCTTTGCTTGAACCAAGTCGCATTGTACCCCGGTGCTGGTTGAAAATTCCGTTCGTCAGCGCATGGTATTCCTGCACGACTTGCGTTCTAAACTCCCGACCCGGTAGAACAACCTAACCCGGTCAGCCCTATATGCCGTAATCATGGGAATTTATAACCCCATGCTTTTTAAAATCTTGGGCACAGAGGCTTGCATGCCGTGGGCTGTCGCGGGGTCGTTCTGAGCAGGAACAGCAGTGCCTAAAGCCTAAACTCGGCATAAACCCAAAGCCCTGAGCCCTAACACGAAACTCCAATCGAATAACCTGTAATAGGATTCCCTACTTATACGCTATACTGCGATGCGGTAGCATACCGAAACACCTATATTCAGGCCCCTAGCCACCAGCAATAAAACCCTAAACCATTTAATAGAACGTCAACATGAAGAACCCTTGTGCACACGAACCCCCTCAAACCCTACAAAAAACACAACATAGTTTATTCATTTGTGCCCCTCCACTGAAGACTGAACACATCAATCCCTGGCGGCGGCTTCCGCCTCCGACCCCAAGCCGCCAAAGCCATGTTTGTCCTCGAAGTCGAGGACCTGCTGGCGGGTCATCCCAATGCTGTAAGGTATGGTATGGCATAGGCTTAGGGTTTTCAGGGTCTAGGGTTTCGCTTTAACTGGGTTTCCCTAAAGGCTGTAGAAGATATGCGACAAGGCTTGGATGTGGACGGTGCAGATGGCTTAGCTATATTCATGTTCGTGCCAACGGTCCAAGCCGGCGATTTTGCAGCCGCTCGGAACATAATAGAACTGGCTAGGCCAATTTACGCTCGTCCTCGTTCGACCGGTTTTCTCGCCAGGTTTTGCCTCCGGAAATGGGACCCGGAACGTCGTTGCTAGCCAACTTCGTTCGAAGATTTCTCCGGAACTTGTGACAAGGACTCCTCCTGAACACTTGCAGCCAGCGTAGGTTCCGTACAATGGCAATACTTCTTATTCTCCGCGAAGCCCGATGTCCAAATAGAGTCGTGCAAAGCGATCTGGACATCTGATCCCGAGTCCTACACTCGGCCACTCGAGCCTAGATGAACCTGTTGAGCACCCAAAATTGTCTGGAGGCTTGAGGCTCTGGGCCTCCTTCATCTCTCGTACTCCAAAATCCCTAAACTTAGTTGCTGAGTTCACAAGCCCCCAAAAGTCTACATTTTCAGTTTCATGGTGGGTGCAGTTTGCTGTCTTGTTCTTCAGGCATCAAATGGATCTTGCTGAGGTTCGAGGCCTGCTGTGTATGAAAGATGCGAGCATAGGAGCCAAACTTTGAGGTTTAAGCATCGTGCTTCGGAATGCGTTTCGCGGACACGCGCAATTGAAGACAATAGTGCGCTTTGACAGGTCCTATACTTCAGCCCTCAAAACCCGAAGACAAACTTTGATCCTGTTGTGCGAGCCATGGCAGGGTGCACCTCACAACATACGCGCATCATTGGTTTGTTGCATTTCGCTCCGTTGCTTCTTCATTGATGGCTTGTTCTTGGGTTTGCGTCTGTCAATTAATTAGTGCATTCCCTTAAGCGTCGTTAGGCCCTTCTCGGTCTCCCACAATCTGCTGCATCCCTGTTTCCCGAGGCTCTATGCCCATCCTCAGAATTGGCATCCAGCCCTAAACCCTAAGCCGGCAGAGGCCCAAACACACGAAGTCCAGCATGAATCCGCAACTTACAACCCTAAACCCTATTAGCCCTATACCCCACTGAAAAAACCAGCTGCCAGTGCAAAAGTTTGATCTTCAAAGGTGACACTTCCAGGAAGAGAGCCTGCTTGAAGTTCTGAACGTACCTTCAAAGGTTTAGGATTTTTCGGTTTCGGATATCAGGGCTCGGGTTTCTAGATTATTGGAGGGGGCAAAAGGCTAGACTGTAGTAGGGCTCTGTCTTGAGGCCAACTTCTGATTGAGTTCACGTGTTCGGCGTTGCTTGTAGTTTCAGGAGCTCACTGTCATTGGAGTATACTACCAAACATTGGAAGCTGGTCCTGAACAGGGCTTGTAATCCGGATTCTATCATGACGGGAATCTTGGACCAAATGCTCATGAGCAGGTAACTCAAAGATACCCTAAGGGTCCATGCATTTATAAAATGGGATTTACTCAAGGATCTACCTTGCAGGTGCACGGATCCTTAGTGTATACCTTCAGCCCTATACCCTGAAAGCCCTAAGCCGGCAGCACAAGCCCCGCGTTTTTGACTTGAAGACTTCCCACAGCTCAGAGAAGCGCAGCGCCTGCGCCCCACGACTTTGCGTGCTTTGCTCTGCTGTGGCATCTCCGGCTAAGGGTCTACTTAAGCTTTACGATACGGTTTTAGACTTCAAGGTGTCTGGAGTTGCAAGAATTAGCACCGAAGGAAATTGAAATTATGTTGAATTCTTGCTCTTCGCCATGAAAACAGCGACAAGGGCGTTCAAAGCACATCGCGGCAGAACCGCCGCTTCTCCTCGAGGATCCTCTGGGTCACATCTTTCCTCAGTGAAAGGACCGAGAGTATATAGTGTAGGGGCCTGTGCAATCATATGGGTGGGTTGTCAAAATCATGGTCCCTTGTTGGGTCCCGATTATAGTACGGCACCTATTATTTAGGGTACCCCAAAAGGGACCATAATTTTGACAACCACCCATATATAAACACACTACAAAATTTTAGGGAAACCTGGCACACACAACACAATAATAATAACACGGACTACTCAGACCCCGATACATTACCGGCACGTTGACCGAAGCGATTGCTCCTGCTGTTGCGACCGCACGGTGACATAGTGGCCAAACCATCAGATCAGCAACCCCAATCGGATGTAAGCCCACTTCACAAGACCCCTTGCTAAAAAAGACAGTTCCCACCCTAAACGGGTGTCGTGTTGAGGGTTTCAAAAAAGACGAATAGCGGGGGCCAGGATCTCCAAGACCCCGCATGTTGTGCCAAGGAGCACACGGCTGAGGAGCACCGGCTGCTCTGCGAGAGGGAAGCGCTGCACAGCCGGGCTCCATTTATCCGGGTGCCAGCGGAGAACCTGAAAAATCTTAGGAGTCTTGGGGTTCAGGGCCCAGATACCTCAGGGACGAATGACTTCTATCCATACATCCGTGCTCTTACCTTAAATCATACGAGTGAACGAGGTTTTGGGCTGACGGCTTTGTAGGGCCTTGGGCTTCCAGGGTTTGGGGATGTTTAGGGCTCTGGGATATGACAAGGAAGATAAGTCAGAGCTTGCAAAGCTGGGTTACTCTCGAGGTGTTTGGCAAAACAACTTCCTTGTCTGATCTGGTGCCATGAGCTGTCTAGACTTTGTAATGTTTAGCATGTGCAGATCCTTACACCTAAGCCATGACAGTTCAGGGGTTAGGTTTCAGGGCTTCAAAGCTTCAATGCTTGTTTTGTGGAGCCGGCCAAAGTGGAGTTTCGGCTGCGGGGTTGTGGACTTACGAGCCAGCTTCGTGCACGACACTGCTAAAACCCCGTGCCCTAGCCGACAAAAAAAGCAAGCTTGCGATCTTGGACCGGCTAAAGAGACCCTGAAGCCGAATCCTCAAGGTCCTCAACATTGAGCTCAAGCCTGCTTTCGGGTGTGGGGTTTAGTGCTCTCCGGCTCTAAGGTTTGGGGCTTGCAGGGTTTAGGGTGTCTATGATTCCCCTTCCGGATGCCTCGTGGAATAAAACATGGGATACAATACCACGGATAAAAGCCATATAAGTATATAAGTGTAAACATACAGGGTACCCGCTTTGCACAGTCAGGTGTCTGTGCTTCTGGGGAAAGCTCCTCCTTAGAGCCCCTTGCCCTAGAAGCGACAAAGAGACAAGAAACCGCTGCACGCAGCTTGCGTTTCTTCACATCCGCGGGGTCCTTGCTCTCGCGAGATCAGGACACAGGCTGTAGTCGGGCGAGAGGCGACATACAGCATATTACAGTATGGTATGCATAGCCTCTAGGGGCTGAATCTACGGAACGACGGTATGGTATCTGAAGATAGGCTGCCGATGGTATGGTATCTGAAGATTGGCTGCCGATTTCGCTTTGGCTAATGCACAATCTGGATCGTCTCACACAAGTCAAGTAAACATAAAACTAATCATGTGTTCACAACATTCACATGGAAAGGAAGTGGGCAGTAATGCAATGATGCTTAACAACTGAAAATGAAAACTTTGCTTGTCGTTTAACAAGCACCGCGAAACCACCAGTCGTAGGTCTACCACTACTACCACTACTACTACTCCTCCTCCTCCTCCTCCTCCTGCTGCTGCTGCTGCTGCTACTACTACTACTACTACTACTTCTAATAATAATGATATGAGTAATAACAATTACTTTACTACTACTGAACTGCTACTGCTACTGCTACTGCAACTGCTACTGCTACTGCTACTACTACTACTACTACTACTGCTACTGCTACTGCTACTGCTGCTACTACTACTACTACTACTACCACTACTACTACTACTACTACTACTACTACTACTACTACTACTACTACTACCACGACTACTACCACGACTACTACCACGACTACTACTACTACTACTACTACTACTACTACTACTACTACTACTACTACTACTACTACTACTACTACTACTACTGCTAGTACTACTCCTACTGCTACTGCTACTACTGCTACTGCTGCTGCTGCTACTGCTGCTGCTGCTACTACTACTACTACTACTACTACTACCATAAACGCGCAGCTGCAAGCACAATGTGCCTACCCACCTAGCCACATACCTACCTACCTACCACCTACTCCCCCCTACCTAATTCGCGCGTTCGTACTTGGCATAATTACATACATTCAGTCGTTCATCGCTGCCTACATTCATGCCTTCATGCATCCATGAAGGTGCGCATCCGTACATTCACTTGAGCATGCATTCATTCCATTCCACTCGTTATTCTTTCGCTCCTTCATTTCATTCCATTCCACTCCAGTTCAGTCCGTTCCAATTCATTCATTCATTCATTTCATTCATTCATTCATTTCATTTCATTCATTTCATTTCATTCATTTCATTCATTCATTCATTCCTTCCTTCCTTCCTTCCTTCATTCCTTCATTCCTTCATTCCTTCATTCATTCATTCATTCATGCACTGATGCATCCGTTCTTCTTTCAGTCATGCAAATATTCTGTCAGTCAGCCAACCATCCCTGCACGCATCCGTTCATTTGTTCGGTCATTCGTTCGTTTACGAATTCAGTCATACGTTCATTCATTCCATTCACCTGTGCCCATGCATTCATTCATTTGTTAACTGATTCATTCTTGGGGGCCGGGTTCCACCAAAACAGGCTAGCCTTTTGAATGTTAGTTGGATACATATGAAAAGCAGAAGGTTCAAGCTTACTTGGGAGTACTTACACGGCCCCAAGCGTTCATTCCGTTCATCCGTTCATCAACCCATCCACCCAATTACTGTTTCATTAATCGGCTCATTCATTGATGCATTGGTTCATGCATTGAATAGTTCTTTCATGAGCTCAATGATTTGTTGCTCGGTTGAATTCTCGAATCATTCTTCGGTCGTTCATTGACTAACTCCTTCTTCCGTCATTCCTTCTTTCGCTTCATACGTGCCTACACACAATTCATGCATACCTATATACATACATGCATGCATAGATAGCAGCAAACAAACAAACAAACAAACATACATACATACATACATACATACATAAACAAATACATGCATGCCTGCATGCGTGCTTGCAGACATCCATCCATCCATCCATCCATCCATCCATCCTTTTATCCATCCATGCATTCATTCGTGAATGCACGGACGTCTGCGTGCATCAGGGTCTGTCTTCAAACTCTTGTTCGAAGTCGATGCATTCTAGTCAGGTTCGGTTCAGGGTGTTGGGTCTTCGGGGTTCAGGACTAAGGCTCGGAGTTTAACGGCTTTGGAAAGTTTCAGATGCTTTGGGTTGCTAGATTATCTTTCACAATTTCTTTATTTTTCCAGGAAGAAGGAAGATCAGAAAGAAGTAAGGGGCTGGACCCCCCCTTTCGAGATCTTGACCGGGAGGAGGCTCTGCTTTACGATTCAGATGAGGGTGCCGCTTCGTGCCATCTTGTCGCAGACAAAAGCCAAAATCGTATAGACCCGAGTATGACGAGTTTAAACGAAGTTCTCAGCACCAGACCCGAAGCTTCTTCCAAGCCCCCCCAAACCTGTGAAGCCCCAAGCTCCAAGACTGTAAACTCAATACTGCACGAAGCCCAACAGCCTGTGGATCACTGAGGACCCCACGCTGGCCGACATGCCGGACCTTGGCGACGCGAAACATCAACGACGGCAAGCAAAGGACTTTCACAGGGTCGCAGGCTTTTAACATCAGGGAAAGGGGAGAGGTAGTTCTGGAAGACCAGGTACGTGCTTACTGCAGAGAGTAGAGGCAACGGGGCTCATAGAGTACGCTTGAGTACCAGACGGGAAGGCATGCTCAAACAAGTTCAGCGGAGATGTCGAGGCAACCTTCCAAGCTAGTCTGGACAACCATCAAACATGCTTGCGGCCGTTTCTGCTTCGGAACCTTTGCGGCGTAATCATGAATCGCTGAAGGGATCTCCATAGCCTAAACTCTAATTTCATGTAGAGGCTCGCATGGAACCCTAGTCCGGATTGAATTAATCTGGTCCTTCAGAATGGCAATTTCCGCTTCGAGCAACGAAGTCTATGGATGAGGAATCGCTGGTATGGCCGTGCGGCGGGACAGAAAGGGATATCCGAAGCCTTTGAATTTGAGTACAGGGTTTAGGAAACTGGTATAAGATAGTCCTCGTGCAAGGTTTGTACAACAGCTCAGTGCAGGGTACATCCACACCCCTTCACGCTGCAGTAGCCAAACCTTCCAACCCTTCCAATCAAGAGGTCACATGTTTCCGAGGATGGAATGTGCGTCCGTCTCTCGCAAAGGATTTGCGGAGTTGAAAAAGTATTTGCAAATCAAATTGAACTTCCATGTGCTCCTTCGATGCTTCCTGTTAAATGCCAAGCTCATACCTGCCATTACTCCAGAGCATCATCGTCATCGTTATCTGTAATCTGTACAATCTCACGCTTCTTCGGATCTTGTTGTCCATGAGCCTCGCGCAAAATGCTCCAAACCAAACCATTGTATGTTTGTAACTTTGGGCCGATCCGCAGCCCCAAGAAATCTAGACCTGCGACATACCTTTGCATTATGTCAAAAAATGCTGGCTTCGGAACGTCGAGGTTATGCATGAGCCGGGCTTTGACAAGAACCTTCCGGGCCATGTCGTCTGCAGGTGCTCGCTGCCATCCGCAGGTTCTATTTGACAAGAATGCACTATGAAGCAGAGCTGAAGCTTCTGAGACCGGGAGAGTTGCTTTGTCTAGCAACCCTACTCTCCTCAAGTTGCTCTTGTTGTGGCTGCCATTCATGAAAAGGAACATTGCCTCCCGTATGTCACTGTTGAGCCCTGAATCCAGAAATCCAAGTCTCGTTAGCATGCTTGGAACTAAACAATCTGAATGTTCAAGCATGAAGGGTCCACCACCATGAAAAATCCTCCGCTGCAAAATACTTCCGTATCTGTCCTGAACTTGCTTGCTGTGCGTGTTGCCCAGACTTGTCAATGGGAGACAATACGCAAGTTCGCGATGCCACTTTTGCGGAGACCATTCCCTGTCGGCTATCATGTCATGCACTCCCCGATAAGTCGCCTCGGGCGGGAACACTGCCAACGAAGCCAGCTTCTTGACGGGCTGCTGATACCAAAACTTGATGGCAACAGTGTGCAGTGTTTGCTCGGTGACAGGGCAATCGTAGGAGTGAAGAAAGTCCATCATGTCTCTGTTTCGCTGAAGCCATCCGCTGCACAGCTTCTCTTGTGCATTCGTGCAAGACCGAACTTCGCCTGTTCCGTCCAAGTGAAGGACTGCTCGAACTTTGATAGGAACTTCGCGCTCTAGCTTGCAACGCAACACCTCGGCACCCATGCTTGCAAATCGTTCAGCATCGGCATCGAACGCTGGAAGCTCAGGACCCACGACAACAATTCGCGTGTCATGTTTCACGGAGAGAGCCACAAGCTCCGCCACCAACACCGAATCTCGAGAGAACACTGCGATGCTTGTTGTGGATGGCAACTGACAGAGCTCCTCGACCCTTGAAATCATGGCCTCATCGTTCGGCTGGCTGCAGACACCCTCCCTGGGAACGGCTCGGAAAGAAATGGTCGGATCAGATTGCTCAAACTGCTTCCATTTCGTGCTTTCCACTCTCCTTGGTTCGGCAAACAGTGTCGTGTGCACGACTGCACCTTTAGCCTCAACCAATCCTTTGATGGCTTCTCGAATAGCTGGGATCCCCGGGTTGTCCGCATCAACCAACAACTCAATTCGTCTCTTGTCCGCCAGAGTATAACCTTTAACTTTGTTCTTGCCCAACCGGCTTCGACACCTGCGCTGCAGAATGCCCACGAAAGGACTTCCGCATGCAGTGGCTTCGCAGAAAGTTCCTCCCAAAGACAAGGGATGAAGCGAGCTAGCCAAACAAATTGGCAATAACGTCTACTTAAAGGGCAGAGTGCGCTACAAAGATGCATGCGTGGCCACTGTGGCTTACAACCCTTCGCATTCTGCCCGCCTGTTGGCTTCGAATAACTGAGCAGTGTCATGTTGATCAATCGTCCGAGCGACGGCATGCTCGTGGAAGTCCTGGAGTCTTCAAAAACCTTGATATTACAACATTTTGAGGTTTAAGCTGCCTCATGAGTGCCGAGATGCACACCTGAACAGCTGTAGAGGCTGTAGAGGAGACAGCAGCATGAAACACGGTTCAACTGATACCTGCGCTAACGAAGTCTTGCCTGACAGTTACAAGCCACGAGATCCTGCCGCCGAAAATGGAGGCAAAGCGGTGGAGCACGGGGCGAACTACAGCTGCAAAGCTTGTGAACCTAGCACAGCTGCAGGATTCCAGACAATTGGAGGAAGCTGAAACCAAATAACACGACTGCCGAGAATTGCTGTACTACTGCTGCTCCTACCGACAATACAAGAGTTCAGAGTGAGTGAAGCTCCAACAGGGGCTTGCCTCTTCTGCATATCCGGTTCTGCTACGGCCCTGCTGCTTCTGCTGCATGTCAAATTTCTTGGCAATAGTGGGACTACGTCGCAAGCGCTTCCATCCCTGTGTACTGTCTTACTCCTTCCTTGAACTATTTTCACCAGAACCTCGCAATCATTGGTTGTTGAATACACCATATTGTCAGACATAAATACGGAGTGCAAAAAAAGATATCGCCAAATCTTGAGGTCCGGACACAGTGGCAGGCGGGGCTGCAGGCCAGGGTACATCTGCCAGGCACAGCTCTGCACCCTGCCGAGATGTGAATAACTCAGTCGGTAGAGAACCGATAGCTGCCATCCTACTTGGAGGGGCAGGGGACTTAGTAAGTAGGTTATAAGTAGAGTTATAAGTACCCAAAATGGAGTTACGCCCAATTATAACCCTACTTATAACCTACCTACTAAGTCCCCCGCCCCTCTAAGTAGTGGTGGCTTCGGCCATCCTGAGACCAAGTCCAACCGACACTTGGTGCTAGACGTGTGACATTCATAGGGATGAATCAAAGGAAGCCACACATTCATAACTTCCAATACCTGTCGAGAACCCAACACCTTGTCCCAGGAAGTGCGGTCCATTTTGAGTGTCCTGCTAAACACAGTTCGGGTCTGCTCGTTAAAAGCGGCTCGCTTCTACCCAAAAATCCCGCGCTGGCCTCCTTCATGCGACCGTCGAATTCCTTCCAGCCTGCCAAGAAGATTTGCGAGCAAGCAAAGCTGTACACTGTACACCCAAACCCACCTCTCCTCAAGCTCTACCTAATTACAGGAGCCCACCTTTTGGAGGTTACTGAATGTGTAATAAGGAAATATACTGCAAGGGTAGACAGACTTGGTAAGGGAATCAGCCTGCAAAACGAAAGCTTTGGTACGACCTTGACTTGAGCATTCTGGTGACCTTTAGTGACATGTCGCCTGAGAAGCCGGAGCCCTATCGTGCCTGGCATTATCGGCTCCGGCGGCACCTGTGGCAGCAAGTGTTCACAAACACTTTGGAGCATGGAATTCGAAAGATTAGCTTGGTGGGACTATGGAGCTGGCGGGTGGCGGAAGACGCATCATCTGTGACTATCTGGCCACGCGCAAATACTTCTTAGGCCCTGAGCCGTCTCGAAGAAGCCAGCCCCATAAAACCCGGAACAAACGCAAGGAGCTGGAAACTGCGGCGCCAGGCTTCACTCTGTTTCTGCAGATTTCATACCGCATCAGTGACAGTGACAGCTGCCCCAGACGATGCCATACAGTACACGTCCAAAACGTGAAACCAACTCATGGAAGATGCACGGTAGGTGCAAGTCGTAGGCTTGCACGTATCTTGACCGGGCACATTTGCTTACTACGCCGTTACAGCATCGAACTTGCGTGCAACAACTTAAGAAGCCTGGAAAACGCAAACTACCTTCCAAGTACGCCCCTGAAGCAGCTTAGGGGCTTAGCCTCTTGGGCATTTACCAAACAAGCCGGAATACTTAAACTCAACACAAACAGGCTCTGGTCACCCACGTGATCGATCATCAAAAGCATGTGTGGTCTTGTGTAGCCAGTCAAGAACCGTAACCCCTCTTCGAATGTGCGGAGCCCCATGTAGCCAAGCAAAGGACACTCAACCCTGAACCTTATAAACTGACACTTCAGCGATGCACTGATCCCTGGAGGCGGGCCTGCGGCTTAACGCGTTCAACTCGAGGAGGGCTGGCCCTGGGAGGCCTGAGCGGTGGCGGTGGCGGCGGCGGGAGTGGTGGTGGTGGTGGTCGTCGTCGTAGCTGTGGGGCTAGCAGATGCAATAGCAGAGCAGTAGCCGTAGAAGTAGCAGTACTAGTAGTACTAGTAGTAAAAAGTTGGGTCCGACAAGCAGCCCAGCGTGGTCGAAAACTCTATGCTATCGTCGTACGAGGGAGCTCTGAGCACTAAATAAAACAACTGTTTACCCTAGCTTAAACGCCTTTGTGCAATAAACACCCAAAACCTCTAAACCCCTCAACCCTAAACCCCCTAAACCCCTAAACTCCCTAAACTCCCTGAACTCCCTGAACCCTAATTCCCCATAGAACCTCTAAACCCTAAACCCTAAACCTTCCGAGGGCGCCGCTCTGCACTGGGCCGGGGCCGATCGTTCGAGGCACCCGCTGCCTCGCCGGGTTTGAAGCCTCGGGGTTAGGGTTTTTTTTTTTGTTGAGGACCTTTTTCCGTCTGTCTCCAGGCGGGGAGCTCCAGTGGAGTTGGGTTAGGGTTTAGGGTTTAGGGTTTATGAGCTGCGCAAGAATTCTATAAATGCCCTTTTTGGGAGGTTCCATATCGGGTTTAATGAGTCTTCAAAGGCTTTGTAAGGGTTTAGGACACGCAGTCTTCATGATAAAGGCTTTAGGAGCTTCTGATGGGGCGTTATGAGATTGATGCGGGCTTCCATTGGCCCTGCTCTACAGGGTCCTATACGGTATTCTGAAGGGTTTGACGGGGCTTGGAATCGCGTTGCAAGGATTCTACAAGCACTGGGCAGGGTGGGTGTTCGCTTTATTTTGTTGTAACAAAGGTTCTTGTTCGTGTACAACTCGGCTTCTATGTAGGGCTTAGTGGGCGGCCGTAGGGCTTGGGGAACGGGGCTTTTGTGGCTGAAGGATTGAGGTTCAAAATTTGAGTGTTTCTCGAGCTTTCAATTGAATGCTTGTGGTTTTCGGCTCTTAGGAAGCCGAAGCTCAGTTTCAGGGCTTGAAGGGTTTAGGGATTAAGGTTTAGCAAAGGCTGAGGCTTCAAATGGTCTCTACTACTTGCCTGTTATTATGGTCTCAACCTATCGCACGGAGGCACGGTAGCCAGAAAGACAACCACAGAGGCGCAAACCCCGCAACCACCACTGCCAGCAATGAATTCACACACACTGCGATTTTAGGATATGTATATGTATATATATATATGTATATATATATATATATATATATATGCGGGATTGGAGTTCTAGGGTTCAGGGAATATGGGAGGTGATTCCAGCACTAGGTGGTTCGAAAATACATGCATCAAGGGTGCAAGGTCCAAGTTGCCTGCGGGTTTCTTCACGGGCCTAAACACTCAGATGAGTGTTTTGGGATGCATTTTATATAGGATACCTTTGCAAGCTAAGTAAAACTCCAGTCAAGAGACTTGTGTTTCTCTTTATTCCGCTCCCTATATTGCCGCTTGCATCCTTGCCCTGGGGGTTGGTTTTACCGAGCCACCACCCCTCGAGCTACGGACTCTCAGACCCGAAAGCCTGAGAACCCCAATCCTTGGGTGTTCGTCTTCTAGGGTTTACGATTTAGGGTAACGAAGTTCAAAGAGTACAGGCCCCTATGCTTGGGGTGTAGAGTTTCGGACAATAGGGTGCCCCATGGGTTTAGCTTCAAGGTTTCGGAAATTCTTAGGCGCGAGATAATGGCTAGGTAGCGGTTAGGATCCATACTGCAGGGACCTCTGAATCAGGCATCCTCTAAGCTGCTAGTCCCCCGGCTTTTTGTCCGCCAAGCTCTGCATGAGGTCTCAGTTTCATCTGAGGCAGCTTCAGCACGACGCTTTCACGATGCAGCTAGAACTCGCAGACATGCCTAGCATGATTTTTGCTGTGCAGTCATGGAATCACTACAACCTTCTCGCTGTGTACATCAACAGAGTTTTGTGAGCAAGGACACGCACACGATTCAACTTCTTTTAGCATGGTATTATGGTTTGTAAGGTATATTCCTTAGGTT